CATTTTCCTACATGAAGATGGAACTTTTGACTTCCAAGCCCCAAGTTTATGTATGGCTGACAAGCAGCTGTTTGTCTAAGCACAGATTCCATGCACAGAGACATAATGATGGTTTCACAATGCATTAATAACCCACGCAGGCCTGTCTCCTAGGTTAATATTCCGTTATTATAGAACATGACAGAGAATCACCGTGTCCCTTCATAGAAAGGTTTATTACTGTCAGTATGTTGAAACCTGTGAACAAAGCCCAGTTCTCTTCCAGAGCAAGAGGAACTAAGATTCTGCTTTGGTAAGCTTATTGTCTTTGGAGTTAGTTTCTTCCTCTTAAGAGCTCTTTAATAATGCAGTCTAGCCCATTTCACATCATGGACAAGTAGTTTGCGAAGACAATAACCAGCTCCTGTGAAGGAAGTAGTGCTGATAATTTGGCAGCTTGTTGAGGAAGAAAAATAGGAAAGAAAAGCCAGTTGACAGAATGTAGTGAACTGCCTTATGAGATAAGTTGATGAATGTGGGGGTTTTAAGGAAGTGCACAGCTGTGTTTCTGGAAACAGGCCTTTGGAATTCCATTACCACTGTTGGCCACAAAAACAGCATGTGGCTTACAAGCTGTAAGAGATTTTCCTTCATGTAGAGTTCCCATGCAGTAATATGATTTGATGTCATTTCTCTTCTGTTAGAAGTATGAGAATGAGCTGGCAAGTGCAGCTCCTCGGGGCAGGGCAGGGAGACCTTTCCATTCTATTTCATGCCAGGGCAAGAATGGGTTAAGGAAACTGATTTTTTTAAAGATGTTCTTTATTTGCAAATGGATCGAATTAATCTTTGAGTTTTGCCCTGAAGCAATTTTGAATTTGCTTTGTGTAAGATTTGGGAATTGTAAGGACTTGAGTCTCTCACTGTTGGAATTGATAGAGGAGAAATTCCCACTGATTTCAGTAGTACCAGGATTAGGTTCCTATGTTGCAAAGTTTCTTTTCCACTTGGCGGGTCAGTATTTTGCCATGTGTTGGGTATAACCTTTCTGTTCCCCACAAAATGTCTGAGGAATCCAGAATCAAATCCTGTAGTTCTGAGGTTAGTGACAACCTAAATCTGTTCAGCATCAAACTTTAGAGAATGTGGGCTGTCTTTGAGCAGGTCCCAGCTGAATTCAGGACTACTAAGTGTGTTTCGTTTTTTGTTTTTTTTTTTTTTTTTTTTTTTTTCTCTTATTGATTTGGAGACTTTTCACTTGAAAATGGTATCAGCTGGTCTGAGGATTTCTTGTTCATGCTCAGGTGTGAATATATGTGACAAGTCCCCTGTTTCATGTGTCACAAGTTCCAGAAACAAGCTGCCTGATACGTGAAGGAGTAAAAATATTGAAATGTCAGTAAGTATTTTAGGCTGTTCTAAGATTTGCAGTAAGACTTAAAGTATCTTGATCATGTAGGAGCTGGCAGTGAGACGCTTGTTACATCCCTGGAATGCAGGGAGGAGCAAACAAACCTTTCACTTCCAGTAGACAGCTTTGAGTCCCACCCAAACTGAAAAGCCATTTTCATCAGAGGGCTTCATTGGCCTTGGTTGGTTTCCTCAGACAACCACCAGGACATAAATATGGCTTGGATCAGATCTGAGAATGAGTAAGAAAGAAATTTGAGTCTTTGCCTCTGGAAATGTGTCCTCTAGGCTTGTGGTGAAGTGTACCAGAGTAAGTGGAATCGTCCACTGTTATTGTGCTGCAAGTATTACGTGACTAAATTCGGATTTCTGGTCTCTCAGACTATCACATACACCTTTGTGCGTACTGTGCTATTGAGTTAAAATACTAAGTACATCCCTGATACACCAGGAAATTGTCAGTTCCAGGTAGGGGGAGATGATGATGTAGTACTGCTCAGCAGCTCTGGGCTACCTGAAATGCTGACCTTGCTTTTGAAGACGGGTGCTGTTAGCATGTCTTCAGCAGGCCTTTAGGGGAAATCTGATAAATGATCTGATCTTTAAGCCAGTGTCTGATCTGTAAAGGGAAAAGAGACTGATGGGTTCTTAGAATCTGGTGTCTTGCCAATGTGTGTTTCTGACACTGTTCAGATTTTGGTGATGTAGGCATTCTCACTGCAGTGCTGAAACATAACCTATAGAATGGGGGAAAGAACCACCTCAATTTTTTAAGAAGCAAAACTGCTAACATGGGAAAGAATAATTTTTAAGTATTTGTGTAACCCTTGTCCCTAGAAGCCCAAGTGATCGAGAATCAAGCTTTTAACAGAAGGGCCTATGGATTCCTCTTAAAATACAGCTGTACTTCTTTAATTAGTGTGGTGGACGAATGAACACTATCAGCAAGGAGGCTGCACTCTTCTGCTTTTCATAAAGAATGATAAACTAATCCTTAAAACAGGTAATTCCAAAAACAATCTTCCCCAAACTCTTATTAAAGAAGGTCAGCTAAATGCACTTTATCTTATTGCTGCTACTTACTTTTCTCATTGTGTTATGTTGATGGAGCTCTTCGAAATACTCTTACCAGTGAGTTTTCTCTCTGCTGTATTTAAGGTGATAAATTTGCATGAATTATTCCTGTATCAATGCTGTAAACAATGGAAACCAAAATAAAAATGAATTGGAAAAATATTTCCGAAACCAAAATAAAAATGAATTGGAAAAATATTTCCCCTGATGTGTTCTGCGTATCATGATACAAAGTCTTCAAGCGTAAGTATAATATATTCAGATGGTGATACGCTACCGTGTTGTGGTAAATTGCATGTTTGACAACAGTGACCTTTTATCTGCGTTCTTACTATGAAAATTAACAAGGAGACCAACGATACTGAATGGTCTGATAGAACGTTCTTAAGTTATACTAAAAATGTTAGTATTGAATCATTGATTTCTTGAGAATATTGTAGGAAGTAATGGTCAGCAAATACTGCAATAATAGACTGAAATTGTGGTGAATCAGTATTCTTAGTCGCTAGATTACATTAGAAGAGAAAAAGGCAAATTTCCAGAGATAAATTTTCAAATTTTAGCTTCTGGGGGAGCTGGGGGTCCGTGCTGCGCTCAGACAATGAGCTGTGGCGATTTAATGAACCCAAAAGGAGGAAGCCGGGGCCCTTCTCCAGCACCCTGCCCGGCCCGCGGCTCGG